GCGGAAGGCCGACGGGTCAGCTCGAAAGACGAGGTCGACCATCGGGCCGAATATTAATCGCAGATCGAGGCGTGGCACGCATCCTTGGCACGTTGCACACGTAATGCCGACCGCTGTACCGCAATAATGCACCGTATGCGGAGCGAAGTTACCGTTATCCGGAAAGGATTCGCCTTTTTCGTCATCGAGACGTTTCCTCCGCGACCCCACGTCAATCTCTCAAAAGTGCAAATCGCATTCCACTCAAAACGCGCGCAACACTACGAGAAGTTTTGGGTTCAATTTTGCGCACGTCTCGACTTATCCACTCTAATCATTGTGTTAATGTAACTCTCCACTGCCCACTGCGACTCTGCTCTCTTAAAATGAATCAGTCAAAACAGCGTGAATCACTGAAAACAGCGAATATACACTGAAAAATTAATATTCTTGTTTTTAGAAAAATCCTCTAAAATAGACACCAAGTATAAAATATTCTAAATATAAGATTTATTCCTCTTATTTTGAGAAACTCTTGTCTCTATGTGGAGAATTTTCCCTCAAAACAAGAAGAATAGATCTTATGAGAATTATAGATCAAAACAAGAGGAATAGATCTTATTAGAATATTTTACACTTGGTGCCTATTTTAGAGCATTTTTCTAAGAACAAGAATATCAATTTTTCAATGTACACTGATTGTAGTTATAAGTATAGCACTGAAAGTGCTCAGTGCTATGCTTATAACTGATATTAGTGACTATTCAGTAATTCACTTTAAGTGAGTGAAATCACAATCCGATTTCATTATTATTTATCTCCGTTGAATATAGTAAAACAAAATAATACACATTTACATGAATTCTATACATATAAGAAATGCAAAAAGGATAGCATGATTGTGTAAACGACAATTGCCTCTACGTTATCGACATTTTCGGAGTTCGTCATCCACTTCAGCTTAATCAATTCATACGAGAGATCAGCTAGTCAACTCTTTGTCTGTTTCTTCCAGGAGACGTAAACAATGAAATTGCTAGCCGCCGACTGGCGGCAACATCGTGTTAACGCAGGATATAATACTGTTTACAATTCGCAACGTGCGAGAACGTGAAAGAGCGTGAAAGTTATCAGCAGTGCCGCGAAAACTCGCCGACGCGAAGTCGGGCGACTGGAAATCAAATCGCTTTTACCGGAAGCGCCGCTCGATGATAACAAGTACGGGAAGCGTGCGGAATGCGCGGCGCGGTAATCAGAGTTATCAATCAATTAATCGCCTAGTCAGATTTCCCGGACAACAAAGCGGTAGGATAGAGCAGACGGAGGATTGACAAATAATTAGGCAATGATTGAACGACGTTGATTAAAGTGAGAAAAAGGTTGAAGGCTCTCAATCAGGAACCGAACCTTTCCCCCGCGAAGAAAACGCGCAAAGAAATCGCGTGTGTGTAGTAATTACTACATCATCATCATTACTTAGATCCGATCGCCGGTAGCCAGTCATTCATCGAGCGCTTGTGAGTCTCCCGCGCGCAGCGCACTAGTTACCTCACTCGGGCAGGACGCGACGACGACGATGCGATTTATTCGAGAAACTAGATTAAACGGAGCGAGAAAGTCCCGTTGTCGTCGTCGAAAGCGTCCTGCATTAATATGCATGTCCGCCCCGGATCGAAATCGTCCTTGATCGCGTAAAATCGAGACGAGACACGCGGATCGATTGACCGCCCAACCTCGACGACAAGGCAGCATTTCCACTGACGTTTGCGTAATGTCAAAGAGAAGTATAGATCTACAAGTTGGTCTGATGAAATCGAGAGAGAGAGAGAGAGAGAGAGAGAGAGAGAGAGAGAGAGAGAAAGAGAGAGAGATCAAATTACAATCACTATCTTATTTGCGCATTCTGAAATTCTCACGGTTCCTTCCTTCCGATCTAAAGATTGGTATGACGAAATGTTACTGGCTCTCACGAGAAATGAATCTTGCGAGTTACAAAATCCACGCGACTTTCTTACGTGACGAATCGTAGTAATAGCCGCCGGAAATGTAAACTGACGGCGCGAGAGTAAGTTGATACGTCCAACGATTCGATCGATCACGACACGCGACTTTTCGCAAGATCACAAATTCTCAAAAACCAGTTCTCGCGGTGTCTGGCAAAAGTGAAGAAAAATTGTGCTGGACTCGCGCCGTTAGCAATCCAGGTGGAATCTCAATTGCTTATAGCGTTGGCGGTTCTGAACTAAAGCAATTTCTATGCCCGTATGAAGAGCATAATAAATCAATCTCGCAATGCCCCGGCAAGAGAACGACGAAAGCTGAGAAAAACGCGACTCGAATTCTGTCTAATTGTGCGCCTTTTTAGTGGCCTTTTTGCGTCGCGTGGCGTTTTCTTGCGCGAAATGTCGAAATCGCGCGAGGCCGCGAATCCCGAGATCGGACGCCGTGAAACTTGTCGTTTGTCCGACGTTTTCTCGAAAACCACGGTCCGCCAGAGTCGCGAATTGGATACGCGTGAGGCTAGAGGTTTTCTACCGTTATGTTTTAAAGCCAATAAAAGCCAGTCGCAGGATTTAGTTTGCGTGATTATTTTTCATTACGGGAGGATAATAATGTCAGAATCTTTTTTTCTGTTATAACGTACGTTGGACAATTTTATCCATTATTTGACCGATTCTATGCATCCCGTTTTATTCTAAATTAAATTAATAATTCCCCATCCTCCCATTATTGCATGATATCTAGCAATTTTTTATTCGCATATTAGTGTTGCGAGAAAGATTTTCCAGAGATTTTCTTCCCACATGAAATTCCAATTCCGTAGCTCTTGCGCAACCCGCCATTGCAATCGTGTTCCATTTTCGGAATTGACTTTTTTCCTTTCTCCGTAAGGATAGCCCTACGCCTATCAATACCTACGTATGAGGTCACATAAGATACCTCGTTGCTCTTTATTGCTGTCGCTATTAATTAATACACGAAGAGCAAAACGTTATATCGTTGCGTCCTAACGACCAATGTTTCATCTTAATTTCATACGAGAGAAGTTAAAAGGATTTATTTTAAACGATGTAACGATCGAAAGTGTAACAGAGGAGAAATTTATACATCGAGAAAACGGTACTTGAAAACTCACTTCTGCGTACTCAAGTATATTTCTGCGCATAAATTTTGTATCACGCAAATAAGTTTTCAAGCAGTTCTTTCTCTGCGGGAAAAGAGTAGCGTTCGCTGAAACATTGAAACGAGTACACAGGACAAAAAGGCGCAAGAACCGAATCTAGGTGAATCTGTATTCGTCCGCACGCGATATTGATGTAAATCTCCAACTTTTACTTCTGTCTCGACGAGAGTAATTACCGACTGTGACGAAAATGTCCAGACGTACGCGCCTTACTTTCGAGCAAACGAATTTCGCGTATATTTTATCGTTATGCTCATTGCTTGTCGAAACTGTCGACTTAATTGGACCCGACACCGACTCTCCGTCCGCGTATCTTCTTTTAATGACTCTCGCGAGCTTAACCTTCGCCCCTTTTCCGTTATTTTGCATCGACACCTCTCGCAATTATCATTATAGTCACGCGTATCATAGTCGCGCATAATTGTTATTATAACCACGAGTCGCGCGCAGCCGGTATTCTGCAAATCGCGTGACCATGGACAGCACACGCCGGCTGCCTACGAAAGCGCCTCGACGAATTTCAATATGGTAAGGCGCCCCACCGTTGCATTTCTCGTGTAATATAATTAATGCGTGCGTCTCTATGCGACAGCCGTGACAGTTATGCGCAATTACTGCTTCATTTATTCACTTATTGCCATTATTCCTGAGGAGCGGAGGAAGATTAATCAAATTCAAGAGTAATCGTTAAATGATCTCCCATCGCGAGACTCACCAAGGCTAATTTTTCTTCTCTCGATAAATCAAGACTCAGTACCGAGGGGAATTAAGACGATGCTTTACGACCATTAACCGACGGAACAGCCAAAGATCTTTACTCGTTTAACCTTCCTTTCGCCTGCGTTGCAAAGGACGACCATGGCAACAGTAAATTCTTTATCTCTCTCTTCTTTTTCTCTCTCTCTTTCCGCCTTTCGGCGCAGAATTTCGCGATTTACAGAAGGGACAAAGCGTCCGTTCGCGCGCGAAGTGCCATTCTTCGGCAAAATCGGTGCGAAAACCAGCACCGGCTCCGAAACTGGTCGCGCGACTCGCAGATAACGCGAATAGAGGGGAAAAAAGGATGCCCGGTGGGCATTTAAGAACCGAAAGTTATTTCAGCGATTTCAGGATTCGCCGGCGAAAGGATGGAGAAGCAACTGGCGAGACGTCGTTTTACGGGGAGCCTTCGAGCGATGTTTGCAGAAGGGAAAGGAAATTTTTACTTTGGCAACACACAGAGTCGATGTCACGGGCCTACGATACGAAACAAAGGGGACTTCGGCGTGATTTAAGATGAAGCGAACGCACGTTTCTCCGAGGCAAAGCTCGCGTGAACAAGACTTGTTTAAGAGGCAATGAGTACTCCATACTCGCGCGCTCAAATACCACTCGAGATATCGCCATTACCAACACTTTTTATACAACGAATCCCTGCGTCCGGCAATTTCCATGGGACATCTAAAGCTGACAAGAGTGAAAATGCATCGAACGTCGTGATATTTCGTTCCACAAATCTGCTTTGTAACATACATGCAGAGAAACAGAGAGGAAGAAACAGAAATTAAAAGAGGGGGGAGCAGGGATATTATCATAAGGGGTAGGAAAGAGACAGAAAGTCGCGAAGCGAACAAAAAAGACGGAGGGAGAAAGAGACGGGAGAAAGAGAGAGGAGGCAGAGAAATACGAGAAAAGTAGAGGTGCACCTCTTCTTGAAGTGTCTGGAGGAAGAGGAAGAGGGGGAGGAAAAGGAGGTGGTGGTGGTGGAGGTGGCCGTAGGGGGGAGAGGAGGGACGCAGACACGTGACCAATGACTTATATAAAGGTGGAGGACGACAGAGCCCAAACACAGAGTTCTCTCTCTTTCTCGGCGCAGTGGAGGCGGTGTCCCTAAAAGTGTCTGTAGAAAAATTCGTTTTTTTTTTTTAATTTTTCGTTCTCGCTTCCGCGCCACAGTCTCGTCTTTACCGTAACCATGAGGACGTACTTCGTGATAGCCGCCATACTGATCGCCGGTACGTAAACAGAAACCGTTCCTCGCGCCGAGGGTGCGAGAAAAGAGGGTGGCAAAGTTAAATGGGCCGCAGTTAAGCACGGGAAATCGCGAGTGACGATGCGATGTCGACTTTGACTTCAGCGAGAAGGCAGTGGACGGGACATGTCGTCGTCAGTGTGTGATCATGTGTAGAGTAGAGCAGTGTGCCCTACGCTGAGGGCAGGATAATTCGGGAATGAGTCCTGCGGGAGTCTCGCCAGAACGAAGGATCCGCGAAAGTCATCTTTGCAATCCATAGAACCTCGATAATTGCGACTTCGCTCGACTCGCGTTCGCGTGGCCAAATGTGCAAGTTTCGATTTACCCACTTTGTTCTTTATTTATGTGAATTATACTTGAGTATAAACCGCGCTGTTAATTATACTACAAGTATAAACCGCGCTGTTATCTTACCATTGCTCGCGATCGAGTCTGATTTGCAATCAGTTAAAATTAACTTTAGGAAAAAAGGTCTTGGAATAGAAAGTTTCCAAATTCTTACGAGACAAAAGAATCGCTGAAAAGAAGTGCTTCTCTCAAGCGGAAGTGATATACGTTCGATATAATATCTGAACGCGTTTGGTTCCGGCTGAATTTCTCGATAATTGTGGTCCGCCCGCGAATATTCACATGGTACAGATAATAAGAAAATGCTTTCGGCTTGAATGTGTTTCTTGATGCAGGAAAGTGTGCCAGCAGATTTCTAACAAGCATGTAATTGTGAACGAGACTGTGACCATAATTACACGCAGCACGCTCATAATTATATCATTCTTCTATTCTGCTCCGTCTTCTATCGCAGAAATTTGCGTTTTCTCCCTTAATTATATGCATCTTTTTTCCCGATTCGGAGATCGATCTACAAATGAGACGTTTTCTCAGATAACCAAGTGCTTCAATCATCACTCTTTGTTGATTCGCTTAGAGTGTATTTTCTCGTAACTTTCGTGAGGTAAAATAGTGTAAATAATTTCATTCATTCATTGTTCCTAAAGGCAGTAGATTCCCCAACGCTCTCTGAAGTTATCGCGAGAGCGCGTTAATGAAACATCGTAATAATTAAAAATCGCCCACGGCCTAAAAAAGCTTGCCACGCTTTCTCGCCGCCGCGGCATAACCTTGGCCCAGATCTTGACCCTTCTTTTTATTCCCTGCGAGTCGAAGGAGGGTTCAAGGATGCCATTCGTCGCGACGAAAATTACCCTAAAGTTTCCCCGATGACATCAATTGACAGCAGGAATATTCTGCGCGGCATAATCAACTATCCCGATGCGATACAAATGAGATAATGCACATTTAAAGATTCCGAACGTACTTTCGCACACAAAGCGATCGATCTAATCGAGTATTTCCAAATCGGGAGCGAAGGAAGTCGGTTACTTCTCAGTGGAAACAGGACAAAGTCACAAAGAACAAAAAGAAAACGATCTAAGAAACGTATCGACCTCCTTTTTAGAAAATAAGAATTCCATTGCGTAAAGAATTTCTCTCGTCTGAGACGTGTAATCAATTATTACGCGTCGAGTAATCGCGCGACAACAAATCCCCGACGACCGATGTATTTGAAAGTATATCGGTGAGGAAATTAGCAAGGCATCCGCAAGAGGTATTCCAAAGAGGAAGCCGTTTCGAAATACGACAGATACGATTTGATATGCTCCTCTTACGTAATTGTCGCGCGTGTGCGCGTATCCCGAGCGACAATTATATAACAATCTAATGACGTACGTGTTTGACAAAACGAGTTTAACGCGCGCACGAAAGTCGCGACGACCAGGGGGACCGTCCGCGCCGGTGAATATCCCGAAGTCGCTTTCGGGACCGGTCCCGCGGAAAACGAAAGTGAATACAGCTGGTTCCACGCGGACGCGCGCACTCGATATACTCACACACGCACTGACTGCGCGTGCGCGCGCAGCCGGGTGAACGGGATGCTGGGAGGGCCCGCGCACAGCACGAGCGGCCGAGGGGCCCAAAGTGAAAGCGCCCCGGCGAAAGTTACCGTCCCGTGCCCCTCTTACGTAAGACATTTTAGCTGAGATATTCAGGCGTCCGTGTGCCCCCGCGTTCGCGCAAAAGAGGCGCGATTAGGCGCCATCAGCATGGCGGCCGGTACGAAAAAGCGGCTCGACAGGCCAACCCCGGCCGATTTTATTTCGGCGAACGACACCGACTTCCTGTTGCTCGCGCCGTATTTTGCGTCGATTAAACGCTAAACGGGACCGGAAAGAGGGACGGAAGTGTTCGCAATCGACGGTTACCCTATCATTGGGAAGGTGGAATCTGGTGGATTTCTTTTCTTCTTTTTCTCTTGGTTGTATTTTTATAATTTCTCAAACCTCATAAGACAGAAAGCACTAATGTTTTGACATGTACCTAATCCTGGATATTCTTTTTATTCTAGTCTTTAAACCGTCGTTGTGAAGGTGAAGTCTGAGAGACTCTACGCATTCCATTTCGTTCTCTTTGAATCTCTATAATATTTTCAGAATTTTTTCTGCTGGCTGTTATTAAATCTCAATACTCCACAGAATCATGAGAGATTATATAAAGTTTGAGAAATTATAAAAAAAGAATATCAAAAAAAAGAAGAAAATTTATCAAATTCTAATGACGAGTTAAATATAAATATTTAAACTTCTAACATAAAATATATATACAAGTATTGAGCATATATATATTCCATGTTGAAAGTTTAAATATTTATATTTAAAGAGCCAAACAATGTTAGTCCACGATTTTCTATGGCAAACACGGTAATATCGAGCCTGAGGCAAGACTGCTTCTAACCACGATCTGAGGAAATCAACGCGCTAACCGCGCGAAATCGAAACGCAGTACTTTTCCTCATTTCCCGTCGGGAAGATTAGAAAACGAGGGGTGTTATCTATCGCGTTACTTTCTATTGTACTTCTGAATTTGAGAAAAGAAAGTAACGCACGCGCACACACGCCTGCCTTGTAGTTGCTCTATTTACTCCAACGTTGAAACAATAAATGGTTACGTGGGTCTCATTACTGATGTTCAACTTGATATTGTGCTTATATTTTATTTCATCTTTTTTCATCTTTATTTCATCAACCGTCGATATAGGTACGTTAGGAAAATTTTCGCAACTACTAGAAAATTGAAGTTTTCAACAAAATCTGTATGAAATTCCTGATATAAAGCTTCAGGGATAACTTAAACTTGTTCGAAAGTAAATTTCTACTCGTCGACGTTCCACAACCGCGCCTAATCTACAATTCATCGTTACAGGAACGACCGGCCAAGAGAGCTTCAAATGCCCGGACGACTTCGGGTTTTACCCTCACCACAGTTCATGCGACAAGTACTGGAAGTGCGACAACAACGCGGCAGAACTAAAGACATGCGGTAACGGCCTGGCGTTCGACGCCACCGACAGCAAGTTCCTCACCGAGAATTGCGACTACTTGCACAACGTGGACTGCGGCGAACGAACGCAGCTGGAGCCGCCCATCAGCACGCCACACTGCGCCCGTCTGTACGGCATCTTCCCCGACGAGAAGAAGTGCGACGTGTTCTGGAACTGCTGGAACGGCGAGGCGTCGCGCTACCAATGCAGCCCCGGACTGGCCTACGACCGCGAGGCTAGGGTGTGCATGTGGGCCGACCAGGTGCCCGAATGCAGAAACGAAGGTACCGAAATAATAAACATTGAACACAACTAACTGCACGTTCTGATGTTGAGTGAACGCGTGTCAACTAATTTAATCCTTCTGTACCATTGCATTCCATATTGCATTGAGGGAGAAATTACCTTAAAATCAACAAATATTTCTTTGATGGGTGCCATTTATTTAAATCTAAATTCTCTTTATTTAAACCAAATATTGTCTACTTAAATCAGGTAAACAATATTTGATTTAAATAAAGAGAATTTAGATTTAAGTAAATATATTAATGCACCCATTAAAAAAATATTTGTTGATTTTAAGATAAGTTTTCCTTCAATGTGGGAAAAGAATACTTGAACATTTATTTGTGAGGTATAAGGTTTATCCACGGAAAATAAACTTTATACTCCACACATAAAAATGTTCAAGTATTTTTTCTCAATGTGTATGCAACCGATTCCTATCTCGCAAGTTCGATGACTCACAGGTATCCGTGCAATATTGAGAAAAATGACGAAAAATTAAATCCGTCTTAAATCTATATTTGAAAAGATAAATATAGGTTATGAGTTTCCAAGCTATAAAGAACTATCCAATGCACTCAATGTTAAATCGGTAAGATATGACGAGTACAAGAAATATTGAAAATCGTATGTAACGTAGAGCTATGTAAATTTCTGACCCGGTTATCCTGGAACTCGTCACGGATGACTTGACGCGGATAATGGAATATACGTAGGACGTACAGAGTAAAATATAAAAAAATATTTGTTGATTTTAACATAATTTTTCCCTCAGTGTGGGAAAAAAATATTTGAAAATTTATTTGTGAGGTACAAAGTTTATCCACGGAAAATAAACTTTATATCTCACACATAAAAATGTTCAAGTATTTTTTCTCAGTGCGTATGCAACCGATTCCGCAAGTTCGATGACTCATAAACATCCGTGCAATTGAGAAAAATGACAAAAAAAACCGTCTTAAATCTACATTTGAAAAGATAAATATAGGTTATGAGTTTCCAAGCTGTAAAGAACCCTTCAATGCACTCAATGTTAGATCGATAAGATATGACGAGTATAAGAAAATCATTGAAGAGAAATACATTGAAAATCGTATGTAACGTAGCGCTATGTGAATTTCTGACCCGGTTATCCTGGAACTCGTTACGGGTGATTTGACGCGGATAATGGAATATACGTAGGACGTACAGAGTCGAACTGGCCTCTCTACATCGAGACGATAAAACTGTCACGACCTCTGCTACATTCGCTCCTTTCTACTTGTCCACGTGGACTTTCGTGTCTTCGCATAGTTTTAGCCTTACGTTTATTTCAGTCAGAGCATATTGTTCTTACTATCAAATCTTCGTCATAAAATTTCCCTACAGACCAATTAACAAACTGCACCTTCAATAATGACAATCCTTTCTACTTCTTTAGATAAGTCAGTTATATTTAACTATAATTTCCCCCTAAATTATACGACAATTTACCACGCGTGATCAAATTGTCTCTAAACTTTCTGCCGCGATTGGAAGTATCACAAAACGAAAAAAAATACTAGAAATTTATTTATGAAATATAAAGTTTATTTCTGTGAAATAAAGTTTATATCTCATAAATAAATTTAAAATATTTTTTTCTTAGTGTATACACTCAAAAAAAATACATATGGATGGTGAACTGTATAGATGACAATTATACGAATTTTATGTATGTAGAATTAATGTTTTAATAAATTATATATAGTTTTAATGACTAAAGCAATATTAATTGCAATATAACTACAAAAAGAATTCAATTAACTACATACATTTCAATTCTGCACCTATACTGAGAAAAAAATATTAAATCTTAAAACTATTATATAAAAAAATATTATATCTTAAAACTAACAAATACTTATTAGGTGACTACCATTGATATATTTACTTAAATCAAAACTTTTCCTTTAAACCGAGTACTGTTTATTCGGCTTGAATAAACAATATTCAGTTTAAACGAAGAGAATTTTAATTTAAGTAAATATGTTAATGGTACCTATCTAATAAATATTTGTTAATTAAAAAATTTTTTTCTCAGTGCACTAAACTAAGTACAGTTGTTACTTTACAGTTATCATTATCACGTTTTTCTCTGAGTGCGAATGTGCTTTATCACGCGTACATCACGCGTTTTATATTCTATAGTGTATATGCTTCGTGTGTTTTCTCGATCTTTTCACGCCCGCCAACTCGAGACCGAGACCGAGACCGGTAATGCAATTGCAATGCCTTTCTCTGTGTGTACACAATATCCCATTTAATGCATTGCACAGAGGTCGCCGGAGGTTTCACGTGTCCGGCCGCGGGTGAAGTGAGCGGTGCATCCGGCAGCTTCAGCAGACACGCCCATCCGGAGGACTGCAGAAAGTACTACATATGTCTCGAAGGCATCGCCAGGGAATACGGCTGCCCGATCGGCACCGTCTTCAAGATCGGCGATGCCGATGGTAGCGGCGCCTGCGAGGACCCCGAGGATGTACCCGGATGGTAAGCATGATCCTTCATGTACTAGTCTCGTCGTAAAATTCATTTCTCTCAACGTTCGAATTTTAATCTGAGAGACCACACGCATCGTCGAATCGAACGCGACGCGAATGAACAATTTGAGTGTCTCGGAATTCGGGGTTTGTCTTATTTCGCGCGTTGGTGAATGTTAACGAACGGCGACTCAGAATTCAAGATACCTCACCATGTTGAATTTCCAACGAGACAACTTCCCAAGATCAAGTCCTAAAGATAATCTGCCCAGAAGCAAATGTTTACTCATCAAAGATCGTTGACGTGTCAGAAGTCGTTAGATTGTTGGATCGTGTTGGAAATTACGGCAACAATTTTCCGCGTCACGTTTTGTTATTACGATTGTTCTTTGTAATCCACGAAGGATACAACGAGGAGTCGGCGAGAGCGAAAAAAGGACATTAACGATGTCGCGTTGCGCAACGAATGATTGCGAGCGCATCACAACAGTGTCTGAATTCGATTATCTCGGCGATTACAGTCCTCGAGACGGGAAACTCTAGAATTTCCTCGAAGACAGAATCGTGTCTGAGAGCTCTTGAAGAGATCGTATACGAATTGCATTCACGGATTTGCGACAAATGATCTGCAATTAAGGGAATATCCACTACGTCGTGGCACGCTTTCGCAATAGCCAATGATGTGTTTTGCGTAATTCAGATAATACACAATATGAATTATGCGTAACGAGTCGCGCGTTTAGAAGGCCAGACAACCACCTCGTTAACCGTTCTCTTTCTGTGAATGACACGGAACGCTTAATCGTGAATCAGCGAATAACTGTATCTGTCAATTTCTGCTGATTATGTTTGTTAACGATCTAACATGTGGCTAACGTGTATGTTAACTATCCCACCGTTCTAATGTTTCGTTGTAACACTAGCTGCCTTTCTTTCCCCTTTTTGTGTAGATTGCTAAGTAAAACACATACAATTGAAAACTGATATTTCTCTATGTATACAATTTACATGTATCTATTTACCAGATACAAAGGAAAAATTGATGTTTCTATAATGAATAAAATATTGCACTAATTAACATTGAGACAACAAATATCTAAGAAATAGTAAATATTTTTTAGATACTAATAACATATTCTTATTTACGTACTAACATAAAATATTTTTCAGATAAAAAAATACACACATTTTCTTAAAACCTTAGAGAGCCAACTTCACTTAAAATAATCACTTTCATGAAAGTGATTATTTTACTTCAATAAAAGAATTTAGATTTAGGTAAATATATGTTATTAATATCCAACAAATTAATATTTACTACTTTTTAGACATTTTTTCTCTCAGTACTTGGAAATCTACACAACGACCGTGAAAATAATACACAATCGTGTGAAAATTTGTCAAGACTCGACGACATATAAATAAAATAATTCGACATCGCGACAATTGCAATTGTTTGTTTCCTTCGTTGTTCTTATTTCAGTCGGTAATGCTCCGAACGAGAAAATATTTCCGTGAGCTTTCACGATTAAGTGCCAGCATAGCTCCCCATTGTGTATGCATGTGCATTTCGTTCGCAAGCATAACGGCAATAGCACGCCACGTAGCGCCATGCAGTAGTAGCCACGCACCGTGCATGTCCTGACCTCCGGGTTTTTCTCGGTTCTGCTCCACAGTGAGGATTATTACGGTGACCTGGACTTGAAGAGCATCCGGAAGAGCGAGCTGCTTGCCGGTATCCAGAGCGAGCCAAGGAAGCCAAACCAGCCTCTCAAACCTAGGCCCTCAACAATACCCACGAGACCCTCCGCAAGTCTCCAGGAATAAATCCTGATACCTCGTCCCTTTCCCCTTCATCCGTCCACTATCTTTCTCTCTCTGCTCCCTTTACTTACTTTCTCTTTGTTGCTATCGTTTAACTTTGTTATCAAACAAACAAGTAGGAATATCGTTAAACACAGGTCATCGGTAAATAATCTAGATCGTTCAAAATATTCTTCAAAAAATCTAGATAGACCCTATTGATGATAAAGAAGAAGAATGTTACAAATTTATTTTAGCACCACGCGTTTCTCATGCCTCTCTTAATTTATTTTATCTCCTTTAATTTATTTCATTTTTTCTCTTTTGTACCAATAAATTATATCAAGCCACATTTCTCCCTCGCTCTCTATTTACTTTCTCTCTCTCTCTCTGTCCTATTTTTCTCTCTGTCTTTATTCTATACTTTCTCTGTTATCTCTTCTTCTCTCTGTCTACCCTTTCTTCTGTGTTTCTCTTTTCCCTTTCAATTTCCTCTCATCCTCTCTGTTCCTTCTACCACACATCCACACATACAGACATACGTATGCTCACACACAGGTACATAGTCGAGAGAAATCCAGTACCGACTTTACGTAAAGAGAATTCCTCGAGGAGCGAAGTGATCGGCGCCGAGAGCCAAGAGAGCCGAAAACCCGCCCTCGAAGGCCGTAGATCTTTCGGCCCATATTATCCACTGCGTATCCTGTACGCAAAGGACGCATGACTCGATCTCGAGGCGGATGGCCGCGACGCGAAATCCGCGAGATTCCGAGAGGACGAAGAGAGTGCGATCGAGCTGTCGTGAATTTTATCCCCCTTCGAATTTTTTCGCGCGATTCTATCGTCGACCCGATTGCGCATCTCCATGCGAACTAAGTGCGTAGAGAATGATACTATTTTTGTAATTATAGTAGAATAGAGGAAAGGGAATATTTGAAGCGCGATCGGTTAAGATGACGAAACATAATCGTGAATTTCGAAAAACATTATACAAAATTATCCGGCTGCCGTGCATGATCAAAATATATATATATAACCGCGTGATAAAATTACTTTCTTCCTGACAACGTAAAGTTAATAATAATTTGTATCATAAAACTTGCGAACACCATGTATAACAATCAACCGCAATAATATCTGTATTAGTTTCAATGTAAGATTTCTCGATTCGCAGCATAAAAGAGTATTATCGGAAACTCGCAATTGTTTGTCCTGACAAATGCTCAAGAAATAACGAATGTTTTGCAAAATTGTGTTAGTTGTGATATCTCATTGGCGATCTCTTTTTCTCGCCGTGAAAATAGGGATTGGAAACTTGCAATTTCGCGATAAAATAGACGCGACACAACAATCGACAATTTTGTAAATTCGAGCAGCTTCTGAAGATGCATTCTACCGGTTGTCTTTGTATTTCGCCTGATGTTATATTATCACCGTTAATAATTTACAATTTACTCATCTCTTAGTGATGCACAAAGATAGTTATAGAGACTATCGATGAAATGTGTCTTCTGAAAATGTTCTGACAAAAGTTGAGTTTTGCAAAACTCATGTCCTCTCAATTGAAAAACGCGTTTCCTCTGTACGAGACTACATAGATTTTAATCCTGGTGTACATGAGAGATATAATTTAAAAAAAAGGTACAAGGAGTCGATTTCACGATAAGTCGCAAACGACAACGAGTTCATCAGACTCGCGCGACTCACGGTCCACGATTTACAATTCGGAAATCTTTCCGACTCTTGGCGCCAATGTGTAGGCAAACTCGGTCGGTCTGTCGTGTATTTTTAAGTAAAGTGAAAAGTATGTATAATAAAAAAAGAAAATTCTTAGATCTTGGTATGTATTTTTATTGCACGTTTAATGCTAAACGTGGCTGTTAAATAATAAAATCTTCTCGTTAGAACGTGAAATATTTTCGTGAATCATAAAAATGTATTCTTCCAATTGATTTATTTATGCAATATGAAAATCTCGAATTCAAAAAATTTATATTTTTAAGTCTGAAAGATGTGTTTATCTAATATTTAATACATTTGATTCCAAAATTCACTTATTAAATATATTTAGATTGTATGAAAACCAAGATATTGTACAGCCTCGTTTAGCACTAAATGTGTAATAAGAATGCGAATATATTTTATATCTGATTGCCCTAAGTCCTGTAACTTAATCAATCCTCTACTGATTGATCAATGCTAATATCAATATTTGTGTATTTAATATACGTAGTGTCCTTAGAATTTGGTAATATATTCTGTGTACACTCATCTATTGCATGATATATTGTATGTAACCAGATCATAACATATATGCAAGGTGCATTGGCCAAAACCTAGAAAACAACATATTAACACGCATAAATCAATCTGTACGTTTAGATCCACTTTATCGCAATAATTGAAGTAGCTAAACAATTAAAGGATCATACTAAATGCATTGTTCTATCGAATAATTTTGTAGCTCGAAAATTAAACGTAAGAGAAAAAAAATTGTATATTAAAATGTAAATAAATTTATTCAAAATTAAAATAACATATAATTGGAAAAGTATTCAATACTTTAAATATCTGCTAAGTGATATAGAGAAAAATGCATTTAAGTAAATGAGAACCTTTAATTATTTAAAACAATATATCTTGAGATTTATCGAGTTTAAGTTCTCCTTATACCTAATTATACTTGAGATGAAAATTAAAGAGTTCTCACATATATTCAATATATTAAATACATTGATTGCATATTAATAAAATATGTTTACAGCTAAAATAATAATATAATGAAAAATGATAATTAACCTTCAACCACACAACTTCAAGTGCAATCTTTAATCGTGATGAGATTTCAAACTTTTCTTTAAGAATTATAATTTATACTTACAAATTATTTATTTTCTGTCACATATTAAAACTCTCCCACAATAACTTTATCATTCATTTTCAATTATCAGCAAATTGAATATGTTCAATATTTCCTGAATATTTTATTATTTATTATAATGTTCCTTATTTCAATAATTAAATAATTTTCCATATTTCAATTAAGTAATTAATGAGTAGAATTAAGCTAAATATCAAGAAAGAATCCAGTAAATATCAGCTAATAATCACATTACACCAATGTTATAATTTCTCACTCAGCATTACATACAGCATATGATGTTTACATATTTGAGTGGGAAACTGCAACATTGATTTAATGCTCCTTTTGGTACTTCCTGTAAGTAGGCACTTTAATGGTCAACTTAATTGGTTGAAGATTGAAGATAATTACACGTTATGATTAAGTAACAAATAGTAATATTCTTATACATTCCTCAGCCAAGATTACTATGGTGATGTGGATCTAAAGGCCCTTCGCAAGCTAGGCTACAGAAAATAGAAGCACTTGCACTCACCGATGATGAAAACAGCATGTCATCCTGCTACAAGGAAGCTGCTTCAAAACAACATCAAAACCATATTGTTGTCCACAATTGTCCGCAATTATATCGGTTCTCGTTGTCCACAACGACGAAGAACATCCTATAAGTCATATTTTAGAAAATTAACAACTATACTCATCTATTATCGTCGTTGTTTAACGTGAACCGCCATGCAAGTTAATTAAAACAATCGTAAATTGCCAAAATTACGTATCGAAAAGATATATTTATATGTACACGAATTTTTTATTAGCTTTTTCTTTCGCTTTTTCTCTTTCTCTCTTACTCTCTTGTAAAACTCGTAAAGTTACTACTCTTAAGTAATGTCAGTGATAAGTGTAATTTAATAAATAGTATAAGTAAATATATATAGTAAAAGAAGATATAAGACAATAATATGTATAAGTGTACTATTAAATACGTGTTCTATTCAGGAGAAATTTGAAGAAAGAACTGGCTACGTGACCTATACTTATTCGGAATACTATGATTGCGATATTATAGAACCGTATTCTTGAAAAATATCGTATTCGATATTTCAATAAAAAGCTATAATATACGTAACATGAATTATAGTTTTTCATAGAAATATATGCGATATTTTTTGCGAATGCCCCTGTTCTCTGTAGCTGCACTGCTGAACTGATGCAATAAATTGAAGTGAGACAACTATACGTTTTCTTACTCTAACTTTTTGCATCAGTTCAGCAATACAGCTACAAAGGCCTTATGATTTGGCTATTGAGAGCGGCGTTTAGATTACGATATGATAAGATTATAACATAGACAATTTTAACACAACTGATATATATATCTGAGGTAAAATCTATTAGTGTAATCCGTAATACCTTCGAGCGAGTTATTTGTATTCTATTGAATTTGCATCGTTCAATCGCCATACTCGAAACGTACCGCTCGCTTTCTCGATGCTTCCGCTCAACGAATTGCTTTCGTGGTTGCTGAGAGAAAATATATATAATTTTCAACGCACGATAACGTACTCGATTATACGAAGGTAAGATTGATCGTCAATTACCTGCCATCAGCAAAAACGTCTGAACGAAGCGTTCCCGCGTATCTCCTTATCTGCTGCCTGTAATGGCGCAAATGATGCCAGGGCGTTGCACGCAGAGTGAGGAAATAGCACCCTACGCCATCTAGTTCAAATGATAATGTGATCTTTTTTATCGATGAATAGTACGATATTATTGCAACAATTTATATATTTTTGTGGAGCCATATGCATATAATTTTAATATTTCCATGGAACTATGTCCGTTCTTTTTCTTATTATTCTTTTTTTTTTATTATTTCACCGCTGTTTTGGAACTATTTTATGTCCACTTAAATGGACCAATGAGCGCACAGTTAAAAATTATATGAAGTGCGCCGCTATTGATATATCTACTGCTTTCAATGAATTTAATTTGTAACGCACGTAAACATGTGTATAAGAGGTTTTGTTATTGTAGCTACATTCATAATACTTTATTAGCGTAATACGATTAGCATCGATTATTGTGCATGTCTTATATGCTAATGGAAAATTTATATTGTTTACAACACTACAATCGTTGTGTCGCCTGATATTCGATGATATGTGCTTTCAGATATGCCACGTATCGCGAGATGTTTATGCGTCACGAATGTAACAAATAATTTTTGCATTGGATTGAAGAAAGTTCTTTCTGCGACCGAAACACAATGGTAATGGGATTTTTTCTAAAAAGGTGAGTCGTTATTTGCATTTTAAATCTTTTATTGCCAGCCGAGGCACCGCTACTGTACGCAGAACTAACCTCAACATCTAAAGCTAATGTCAAATTGTCCAGCATTTCTGTGAGGGGCTAGGAGCATATTAAAGATTTGGGAAAAGAAGGGAGAAATAAGGATCCTAAATTTGATTACATCTCTCTGTTTTTAATTGCACTTTAATTGCATGGGAATATATTGTACATTTCTTGCTAATGTAGTCTACTGGCTTAAGATCTTAAATCCATCATCGCATAATTTTGCTATGTATATTTTACATAAAACTTACCAGAGCATAAAAACCGTCTTTATGTGATTTAATTGTATTCTGATGCTTTACATATACAGGCTAACTAAAGCATTATCTTGGTAACATTTTCTTCATCTTTGATATCATAGCATTATACTTGTTCTTACAATCAATGCTTCATTTAATACATTTATGTGACTTGTACTTGAGATATGTGTTTAAAAAATGAATTTATATAGTCACTGACTTCTAATTGATTAACTGTTGTATAATTTGTCAATATAAACTAGTTGCAGCAAATTTATTATATATTTCAAAGTAACAGTTTCCACTCTCATAAACTATACAAGACAAAAAAATAATTGATAACAATTAGTAGAAAGAAAACAAATTAGAAAATATGTTTGTATGCAAATATAAAAAATACAGAATCTAGAAAGCATCATTCTTAAATGCTGCTTTGTTTGGATACTAGACAACGTGCTTTACATAAGGATATCATACAATGATGAAGGAATGCTGTAATTTTTCTGAAGATCAATAGAAGCTGTTGTGATACGATATGAAATTCGATAATTCCACTGCAAAAGCATTGTTCGACAAGCACTTTATAATCTCGGAAAACACAGAGGACACACAGAGCCTAGAGAGAACTGAATATGTGTTACCAGAGCCAGAATGCATGTTCAAGGAGGAACCATGGCAGAAAGATAATCTACAAACTTTGAAAAACGAACTGAACAATGTGAAAAGCCGCTTAAACAACTTCACTCTAGATGAATGGCAGCAGCATACCTACCAGATGAACCAGGCGGGCGATGTGCTAAGCTGTATAAAAAAACAGATACAGCCAGAATTCATTACTCAAGCCTGGTGCAAGTTCTACGAGATTGCGTGCAACTTTTCCTTAGTGCCATTGAATAAAATTTTGCAAGAGAGCAATGGAGGAAACGTCTGCAGCTTTACCTCTGTGCACCTGTGCGAAGCACCAGGTGCTTTTGTGGTCGCCTTGAACCATTGGCTGAAATTGAATGCCAGCAATGTACAATGGGATTGGATTGCCAGCACGTTGAATCCCTACTGTGAAGGAAATCCTTACAGTCGGATGGTGGATGATGATAGGTTTGTCAGACACACTTTGAAGCACTGGTGCTTTGGCACTGACAACACAGGCAATATTATGGACTTGCAGAATCTGGACGCCCTGGTAGAGAGATCGAAGACCAACAGTGGAGGACCGATCATGCTAGTCACTGCGGACGGAAGTATCGATTGTACGGACATGCCAGATGAACAGGAGAATGCCGTGGCGCACTTGCATTTCTGCGAGACACTCGCATGCATGCATCTACTAGAAAAAGGCGGTAACTTTCTATTGAAAATGTTCACCTTATTCGAGCACCAGTCTGTGTGTTTAATGTATCTGCTATCCTGCGCTTTTCACAAAGTGACCGCAACGAAACCGGCGACCAGCAGAGCTGGTAATTCAGAGATGTACGTAGTCTGTGTGAACTTCAAGGGTAAGGATTACATAGAACAGTATCTGAACGTTCTCAGATGCCACTACGAGGCGTATCCAACACGAGTAATGTTCAGTTGCCAAGTTATTCCGGACTGCTTCATACGGAAGATCGAGAATTGTTGCAAGTTCTTCAAGCGCCATCAATGCAAAGCAATAGAGGACAACATAAATGCATTTTATTTGGAAACGTACAACAATCTCCTTTTCAAGTTGAGATATTTCAAACGAAAGGTCTCTTTCATGTATCTGAAGAAGTATAAGTTGACGAAAATAGATGTTAAGGATGAAATAGTCGGTCGAGAGATCATAGAGAGAAACACCAATTACATCATGACTAGAAAGTTACGTTATGATTCTTACAACGAGCGTTGTAGGAAGTTAAACTCGACATCGCAAGAACGTCTGCAGCAGATATGGAACAAAGCGGGAGAAATTGAGGTGCCGATAGAAAACTATTACACTGTAAGTGAATCTTTTAATTATCCGCATTTCTAGATCACAATTTCCAAATTTTAGAAATTAAGGAAATTTATAAAAATGTAAACTTCAAAAGATGATCTAAAGATATGTATCTTAGTAATGCTAAAAATGTGAATAACATTATCAAGTTATAAAAAACTATTGTGACTGTTGAAAAAATCATACAATATATTATTATTATATAATTTTACTAAAGAAATTCTTTTTTTTTTTTTTAGAGAAACTCGCATATACTATAATTTGAAAGAAAGATTCCTCATCTGTTATATTTTCTAAGATAATTTCTATAAGATGATACATACATATAACACGCGATTATATCTCTATTTGTAGTGTAATCTGCGGACTTTGCCAGAGACTCTAGAGATACGAACGGGAAAAACATTTTGTGGGATATACAACTCGCGCTTTTGCGAGGCGAAAATTCTACAGATATTAAATGAAACTAACATTATACAAGATATGCATCCTGCCACCTGCTTTCCATCTGCGGAGATCACAGAAATGTGCATAGATCCGATCGATCAGCATTATGACATCTTGAGCTTCCAATTCACTCACGTTTACGACAGTCATCGGATAATCGTCGAAGTTTGCGATCGATTAGAGAAACTCCAAGTTAAACAGACTCTAGTTCTCATCAACTACCCTTTATTAACACAGTTAAGCGTCGGGCTTTTATACATCTTGGGAAATTCTTTTGAGAAGATAACTATAGAAATTTATGCTAATGAAGGTTATCGCATTATATTGGAGACATATCGATCTGACGAGAAGATATTAAATCACTTGCGTACGATCCTCGCTGCATCGTACAATGCGCGCAATGAGAATATGGCAATTTGGTCGATAGTACCTATGACAATTTTATACGGTAAGATTCACAGATATATATAAAATGGAGACTTTTATTTTGTACAAATATATTTTTATTAAGATTTACCTATATGTTTTTATGCAAAATATTGAAAAATAAAGATACGTTTGATGAAAAAAAAACAAAGTAACACTCCTTAAAAAAATTAATAATAATTTTTACTGTAAAAATTTATTGAATTATATAATATACATATGTACATATCTGCACCGATGCAAAAGCTTCATTAACACATACACCCTGTATATGACAATACCATCTTTTTCTAGAATGGGACCAGTATCCTGTTATAATGCAACTCAACCACCTAGCAATCAAGTTGCACACGTTTCGCATACTTGAAATGTTAGACAAGATGTAGCAACGGGGGAACTATAAAAATGTATACACAATTATATATATATATACATATAATTTGTAAATAATGAACGTAAATTATACGATATTATAGTTCTTCTATACGCTGCAAATTCGCTCATCCTTCTATCTAACGAAGATATAATCTATGTGTGCAAAAACTTTTGTTTATTCATAAAATGCATAATATAAAATGGAATATCATGAATGGGGAAAATTGGCTGCATGTATGGGAAGGTAGGATATAAAATAGAGTGGAAGTTGTTATGCTTATATATTATATTATAATTATCACGGACTGATAAGAAAAAAAATTATTTCGTCCAGAAAACTATTTTATTTTTTAATATCCTACATATGTAAACATCCTTTTTTATTTTATAGAAAATTGATTATAACATAGATCTTTTCTCGGGATTAATTTCTAACATATGTAACTAGAAAATCGGTTTTCTTTTTTAATCATAGAAATTATTATCTTGCTAGTGCTGAATTTACAGTCCTTGATGTCACGTAACAACGGTTCAATGACTGGTGAATAACAAAAATAAATAATTCCAGATGTAACTCGAGTGTCGTGCTTGTAGGTGGGTGTTTTCATGGCATAGGCCAAGCGGGAACAAATACGTCTCAGAACACGCCTCATGTTTAAATGCATGAAACAATGATCGAGATTTCGATCTGTAAAAGGAGTATTTTTTGTACGAATAACAAAACAGCATTGTGCGAGGTCTCGGCTGAACGCTTCTTTGAAAGATAAATTGCAGCTAAGAACTTAATACACGTTCTAGATCAACACGATTCGTAAAGATGAGACTCAACTACATCGGAACCTGCGTTCGTATGCTGTCCACTGAGCAGCGTGTGCCAAAGGTATGCATTGTCGGAGCAGGCCCAGCAGGTTTTTACGCGGCTCAACAGATGTTGAAGGTATTAATATATAATACACGTAGATTTATGTTGATCGATCTCTTTGTTATAAGAAAAGAAATTCATAGTAATTATGGAAGGAATTTGTTCATATTATTTTACTCTTCTAAGATTTTTTAAATACTTGCATACACATTAAATGAAATTACATAGAGAAATTAACGCATTATTATTATTTCACAGGGTTTGAGTGACATTAGAGTCGATATACTGGAAAAACTACCGCTTCCCTTCGGTCTCGTACGTTTCGGAGTTGCTCCGGATCATCCAGAAGTAAAAAACGTCATCCACACCTTTCATAAAACTGCTACTAATCCACGCGTTCAATTCCTAGGCAATATTAACATCGGTACGGATGTGACCATTCCACAATTGCGTGAGCTTTATGATGCTGTACTATTGGTATGTGTAAACACAGTTCAGAATTATATTCTTGTTTAATTAACTGATTTAAGGTGTACAATAAACATTTCTATTCTGATATTGATTAATTATAGTCATAATGTATAGATCTCTTTATGTAGATAATTCCTTTAAATTCTTTTATTTTAGATTTTAAATGTAGATATCCTTTAAATTCTGTTATTTTAGACTTTCGGTGCTCAAGAAGACCAAAGACTCGATATACCAGGTGAAAATTTGAAGAATGTTATATCAGGTCGACGTTTTGTTGGTTGGTACAATGGAGTACCAACTGACAAAGATTTAAAAATAAACTTGGATATAGAAGAAGTAGTTATCTTAGGTCAGGGTAATGTAGCCGTAGACATCACAAGAATTCTCTTAAAGCCAATCGATAAACTTAAGGTAACTGTTAATTAACTTTTGAACAATTTCTAACTTAATATTTGATATTTGAAATTTTACGTCTATAAAAACGACTTTATTAAACATCATCACGTTCATAATTAAAGCACAATGAATATTTGATTTTGTTTAGATTTTTATTAACTTTTTGTCCCATTTTTTTTCAGAATACCGATATCACGTCTTATGCACTGGAACAATTATCCCAAAGCAAAGTGCGAAAAGTCAGCATGATTGGACGAAGAGGACCATTGCAAGTGGCGTTCACAATAGCGGAACTGCGTGAACTCATCAAACTGGAGAACATGAAGACTGTTTGGCGACCACAAGATTTCACAGGCGTACAGGCGATCGTGCCAACCTTGGCCAGACCACGGAAACGACTAACAGAACTTATGCTGAAGTCTTTAGAAGAATCGACTAGCGACTCGACGCGCACCAAAGAATTGCACCCGATTTTCTTACGAAGTCCACTAGAATTCCATGGTACCGATCACTTAGAAAGCGTCCGTCTGTCCGTTAATCGTCTACGAGGGGACACGATGCAAAATCAAGTTGCTGAAATGACTGGCGAATTCGAGGAGATCTCATGCGGTATGGCTCTGCGTAGCATCGGCTACAAATCCTTACGAATTGATAATACGATTCCGTTTAACGTAAAAAAGGGACGCGTAGAGAATGTTGCCGGCAAAGTCGACGGAAATCTCTACAGCACCGGGTGGGCGGCGACTGGCCCAACAGGCGTCATCCTGTCAACCATGACAAACGCTTTTCAAGTCGGCAGACTGATATGTAAGGAATTGGAGGTGTCCCCGAGAGAGAACAAGGCAGGGTCGGATGGTTTACGCAAGATTCTAGACTCCAAGGGTGTTCAGATCGTATCTTACAATGACTGGGAGAAGATCGATCGGGTTGAGTGTGAGCGGGGCAAGCAGTTAGGAAAACCACGCGAGAAGATTGTCGACATAGCAGAAATGTTGAAAATAGCCGCGAAATAAGCAACAGAAAAGACATTTGAAGAATTATAATGGAGGTTTAAAATATCTCAATATTTTAATTTTCTGCTTTGTATAATTTAGAAATGTTCGTTGTATCCTCACTGACATTTGAAATCCTCATAGACAATTGAAATATCTGATCCAGTACACTTTCCCAACTGGAGAAGACAAATGTAAGATTACTTCTCCTTTAAATTTTCCTTTTAAATTATGCTAACTAAATAATATACTTTTATATTGCTTTCGATGCATATTTAATAATATTCGATGCATATTTAATAATGCATATTTATTTAAGCGAAATGAAGATTATGTATAATATCTTAGAAAATATAGATATGTGTTACAAAACTTTCTAAAAACTTGCACATGTACATAATCTCCATTTTTTCAAATATGAAAAGGTTTTGAGGATAATTTCTTAACTTTAAGATTAATTTTCGTAAATTTATTAAAGAATTTAAAGGGATAGATCTTGAATACTGCAGTTGCAGGATGTTTGTTATAGATATCTAATGTGCTGTTTTGTGTACTTTTATAATAATGCAAGTATAAAATAGAAATTAATGACATAACCTAGATTTATTTGTTTTGCAGCTGCTTTGTCTGGATTATCTTATAATATTTCTGTTTCTTTCTCTTACCTCTTCCACTGTAAATATTAAACATATATTTCACTTTAAATACAAATATTAGGTGAAGTAAAAAGTTCTGAGCGTTTTTTCGCTTTATTTCGACGATGAAATTAACGGGAGCGGTGCACTTGGACACGGTGCATTTGGACACAGCCAATCACAGCACCGTGTGATTAGAGACATTTTTAGGGTCCCTTGGAACAGCGACTTGTGATTGGACTGTGTCCAATTGCCCCGTGTCCAACTGATATACACCCG